ACGCTGACAATACCCCTTATCATTTATTTGCTTTCATTATATCTTTTTGTATAATAGTTCACTTTACTCACCTTTATGTAGTTCTAAACTGTAGGTCCTTCTGTGGAACATAAAATTATATATTTTTTGATAATAATCCACTCTCCATCACAAACAATACAAATCTAAAATGAGTAAAATGTTAGAAAAAACTAATAAAAAATTAATTGATGTTAGAACATTAGGGCTAGTAAATGCTCTTTTAAAGAATCATAATCATTTGTTCTTCACATTTACAGTAGGCTATATTCAAAATCGGATGTTACAATGATTGTGAATATTCAAAGCATTCTCACTCCCAGGTGTCAAATGCCTGCGCTACCCTCTTTAAGGGATAGTGCACCCAAAAACAAAAATTCCCTCATGATTTACTCACCCTCATGCCTCATATGTTTTCTTTCTTCAGATGAATACAACATTTTACAAAAATAATCTATGTCATGACTATGAACCATAGGCCAACTGTCATGCATGACGTAAGCATTTTGTGAAGCATGATGCAAGTTTGTTGTGAAACTTGTGGGAGAAGTGATTGGGCCTGTCCCACACTTGTGGTTTCTGCACTTGACCACTTGTTTACTTAAATAACCCTGTTTCCTGTATTTTAAGTGTTCATATGGGCGTTACAACCGCAAGTCTGGATAGAACATTTGATTAACCAATGGAACACACTAACAACATAGTTTTTTAAAAATGCAAGTAAAGTTTTTACAAAGCTTTATTTGCACATTTTGAACATATAATACTTTACACTTTAAAATAAACGTATACATTTCTGTCCAGTATTCCCTGTGAATGACAATTTAAATGTGGTGCTTCTAAGTAATAAAAAACCGTTGCAAACATTTGACAAAATACACATACCAATCTCCATACCAATAAAATGTGCAACACTTTACATTTTACGTAAACTATGTGATTTATCTAATTAAATTAACTTCAATACAAGTTTTGACATCTTGCTATTTCAGGGCATGTGAATTCCTAAACGTGAATTATGGAATACACTTAGCATAAAATAGCGCTCTGAAGGGGCATTTGAGATAGTGTGGATTTAGTATGTGTTCAGACCTGGGGTCTTTTATACAGTCTATGGGTCTTACGCACTTCCTGTCGCGTGTATGCACTCTCAAGTGATCAAAACCACAAGTATGCGTACTGGGACTGGCTAGGGGTGTAACGGTATGCTCAGGTCACGATACGGTACGTATCTCGATACTGGGTTCACGATACGATATATATCACGATATTTTGAACAAAATTTAAAATGGAGCTGTTCCATCGTGTTACCACATCCATGATAAGCTTATGTGATGCGATCTCAAGCATCTTTTGCTTTTCCGCGAGCACAGCTGTTGCACTGCAGTGAAAAAAAGCCACGACTTTTCTCACGCGACCATGCAAGCGACTGACGCAAGAAACATTTAAACCTGCTTGCGATGCAAGATTCAATGTGTGCGCGAAACACTTAATATGCGGTGACAACCCGGCTTCTCTCACTGCCACCTCCATGTTGCGTGCGTTGTCACTAACAATACTATGAGGAGCCCTTTCAAGCTCCCACTCTTGTATAGCCGCTTTTAAAACTCCGGCTATGTTAGTTCCAGTGTGTGACTCAAAAAGCGGGCGAGTCTGAAGCACGAACCTTTTAATTTCCCACTCTGGGGTAATAACATGCGCCGTGACTGTAATATAGCTCTGACAAGCCTGCGAAGTCCACCCGTCAGTTGTTATTGCCACATTCTCTGATTTTTTCAGACCGTCGACCACCTTTGCTTTAGCTTGGCAGTACAGGGCTGGAACTACCTCTTGACTGAAGTGAGGGCGTGACGGAGTATCTGGCCTCCATTACGCTAACCAATTCGAGAAATCCAACATTCTCGACCACAGAAAATGGTCTCATGTCTTTTGCAATAAAAACGCTGATGCATCTGGTTATTTCTTGAGCTTTCGCACTTGACTGAGACCATGTTGCAGCAAAACTGCATTGTATAGATGTTTGGCCTTCTTTCACCCTTTTTGTGGCAGGAGTTTGTTGTTGTGATGCCGTTTTAAATGGCACATCATATTCGAAGTGTTTGACGTTGTGTATGGCAGCCTTGTTTTACAGTGTTTACAAACAGTTTGTGTTTTGTCTGTAATTTTTTTTACCGTCGTCCTGTCGTGTGACTGGAAAACCAAAATGCTGCCAGACGTCGGACTTATAAGAAGACGGGGCATCTTCAATTTCAGTTTCAGCCAAACTAATGTTGCCAGACTAATGTTCAGTTTAAGCGATTTCTGCAACTGCGAGGAAAGCACACGCGACGCTGTTGCAGAGTAGGTCACGTCGGCAGCTCAACCAATAGGATTAGACTGCCGTCATATCGTAAAAGTATCGCCACCACTCTACGATACATATCGTAACATATTTGCATCGCGAAATATCGTACTGCGATATATCGTTACACCCCTAGGACTGGCCCATGAGCCTCTGTGCTTCTGCGTTACTTCTTGCTTGAGCTACAGAACGCACTGACATTTACGTCAATCATGAACTAATGAATCTGCATATAACAATTGGCAGGAAGCAAAAGTTTATGGTTTGAAATATTAGTATTTTTCTACACATACACACCTATCGCTTCAGAAGACATTGACCCATTAACTGTAGTTGTATGAATTATCGTTGTGTTTACTTTGTGTGGTTTTTGAAGAGTGGGGGTCCCAAACATTTGTATTAAATTGAATTTACAAAGATGGATATTTTTCTAAAAACATTTTTTGCATTAATCTGAAGAAAGAAGTTCATTAACATCTGGTACGGCTTTCTGAGTGAGCTACCCCTTTAAAGAAAGCACCTTCTATGTACCTAGTTCAGTACAATATACAGTAAGCTAATATTTTGACTCCTATTGTTCATGCAGAACTGAAGGATGAGTCCGTGTGCCCACTTACAATTATATTTGGTCAGTAAAGCCTGGTTTCCTTCTGTCTTTTTTGTTTGTAGAGAACTGATAAATGATACTTTTTGAGTTTCATCTGTTCCCGAAGGCTGTTTTTAACAGACAAGTTCGGTTTCACCAGAACTCGTTACCTGAACTACAGATGGAACCTAAATCATGGATTGACTCATGGACTGCCCCATGGTTGTCCAACAGTGACGAGAGAAAAGATTTGAGCAGTTTTGAATGTGCAATGTTACATTAATGAATGTGTGGTTACATTAATGGCATTTCAGTGAAATTTCTTGGAAAAATGGCCCGTTGTCAGTAGCGATGCATGAATCACAACTCAAGTCATGAGCTATTTGAGATGGTTCTCACTGCAGAACACAAGATCCAGGGGCCGAGGTTGGATCCATATCTAACTCCTACCACCTTACATATACCTAAACCTACCCGTCTCCACCCCCTGATCCCTAAACCCACCCATCTCCACCCCTAAACCTACCATCTCCACCCCCTAAATGTGGATCCAACCCCGCCCCCTGGATCTTTCTTCTGCAGTGAGGGGCTACTGAGCTAATCTGCATGACTTTTACTCCCTCAAGCATTACAGCATGGATTTCTATTGAAAGTACTCAATTTTGCATGCAGAAATCGGCTGAGGTAAATTTGGCCGCACATAAGGTTGTCAATAAAAAAATAAAATACTGAGCACCTTTAAATAGTGTAGTTAATTAATATTTGTTAGAAACTACTAAGGGTTAGGTCACCCAAAAATGTCAATTCTGTCATTAATTACCCTCATGTCGTTCCAAACCCACAAGCCCTTCGTTCATCTTCGGAACACAAATTAAGATATTTTTGATGGAATCTGACAGCTCTCTGAGCCTCCATAGAGAGCAAGGATATTACCACGATCAACGCACAGAAACTGTCACGGCATGCCAGGAGGAAACAGGGTAAGTTCCATGTGCAGTTTATTGCAAATAATAACAGGACAAAACAGAACAAAACGTTGCAAAATGTAATCCGAAACCTGACACCGACAACACCAACCAAGAAGACAATGTAATCCAGACGCCATGACAGACAGAGTGAGCATGGTATATATAGCAGGGATAATGAGTAAATGATAACAGGTGCTACTGATCAGAACAGAATTAAAGCAGGGGACTATGGGAAATGGAGTTTAACACATACAACATAGAACAGACAGAGCGCCCTCAAGTGGCCAGTCCAGGGCACCACAACCAACACTGTGACAGAAACGTACCAAGGACATCGGTAAAATAGTCCATGTGACATCAGGGGTTCAACCGTAATTTTACGAAGCTACGAGAATACTTTTTGTGGGCAAAGAAAACAATAATAACAAGGTAATAATAAATAACAAAATAATCAACGTAATCAGCGTTGTTTACGTTCAGCATGCGCGTGCACTGTCTACTGAAAGTAAACAATGCTGATTACTTTGATTACATTCTGGGGTACTCTCCAAAATGGTGGAAGATGGTAACTGGGAAAAGAACTGTTGAATAAATCTCCATTGCAGAATTGATGTCATACGGCTCGTTCACTGAATCGCTGGCTGTCTCAGTGATCAACCGTAAAACAGTGATTCTGTCCTAATTCCCTTGCATATTAATGGTGGAGTTCCCTTTAAAATCTTAAATGATTCCCTTTGAGCTAAATTATTGACCTGTTTCCCTTACACTACGTTTCTGTGCGTTGATCGTGGTAATATCCTTGCTGTCTATGGAGGGTCAGAGAGCTTTCAGATTCCATCAAATATATCTCTATTTGTGTTCAGAAGATGAACAAAGGTCTTACGGGTTTGGAACGACATGAGGGTGAGTAATTAATGACAGAATTAAAATTGTTGGGTGAACATTCCCTTTAAATTATGCGGTGTGGCAGTTTCAAAGTAGTTTCCACAACACCATTAAAGATGACACCTTGTGTCAGCTGGACATGAGTATGTGTGTCTGTGCTTATTCAGAACCACAATCATAAAAAGAGACACACTGCAGCCACTTGGCTCTAAACAGGATATCCCAAACTTTATTTCCTGTGTAGAGGTGTACTAGGGGAGCAATCACAGTTAGTGGACGTCCATCTTATTAGATTGAGTGCAACACAAAAATAAGTCAAAACAAAAACGAAAAAATCTCATATTGAATTATTCAGATTAAAATTAAAACAACCTAACGATCAAAACAAAACAGCATGAAATAAAGCAAAAAGTGCAAGAGAGAAAGAAGAGAAAAGAGAGAGACAGAGAGAGAGAGGGGAGGAAAATAGAGTCAGCTTTAATAAGCCCATGACAGAGGACTATGTAAGACACACTATGCCACAAGGCCACACACACTTGCATTAACATGACTCTCAGCATTAGCTTATAGCGATCAAACACACACAATGATTTGAGCCCCTCGATCTGTACAAGACAGATAAGATAATAAAACTTACAGCCTTCATTTAGACCAGCTATTACGTTACATACAATACATTCAATCCTGCTTTGGCATGAGAGCTTTCTGCCATGTTGTTTACACTGCAAAACACAGCATTTTGTCTTGTTTTCCTGTATAAATATTCTTTTTAACATTTAATTTTTACCCTCTTGTTTTTAAGCATAAACCTCATTAAACTGTATTAGATTTATGCTTGAAACAACAACAAAAAATAATTGTTTGTTTTAGATTTTTAGATATTTATTATCGGAAAAAAGACAATGACTAGTTAAGAACAATATTCTCTGCAGTATAAGAGGTTTTGCAAACCTTTATACATGCTATAAATCTTTACATTATAAATAAGTGATATAGACATTTACACACATATACGCACTGTTCAGGAATACCAGGAACATTGTTACACATATACACTGCGATTGCTTACAACACACAGCCTACATAATTTCATTGGACACATTAATGCAAGATGTTAGTGAGGCCTTGGATTGGAGAGTGAGAAAGAGAGTGATATAGAGAGGGGGGAGGAGGAGGAAATAATATGATCAAAAATTAGTATTAAACCCCTGAAAGACTAGAGTCCATCTGAGCAGTGAATAAGAGAGAGGGTTTAGGAATGTAAGACATACACAAGGCAAAACCTGACACTTCACACACATTCTCCTAATGTTTTACAGACATTTTCCAGATGGTTCACTGATTTTTGCAAGATGGTTTACAGACTCGGAGCAGATAAATAACGGACTACATGTTCCCTTAATTTTTACAAATATCACAGACTGCTCCAGACCGCCCAAACAAACACACGCTCGCACACACACTGCTCAGCGAAGAAACTAGAACAAAACAAGCACTATGCAACAATCAATCCAAAAGGCAATATTTGTCATTCTGAAGTTTCAAATAAATACGTTGTATTCTCTCTTTGATAACAGCAGAGCGGTGACTCTGCCTTCATTCTACTGTACAGTATATAAATACACACCTGAACGCTTCAGTGACAAAATATTTCATACTGTTAAATAATATAACCATTGCAACAACCAAGCAAAGGACCTTGATATATTGCTTCCTTCGTTTGTACATGTGCTCCTGTACTAAACGACAGATACTGCCTTTTTAATATACATGTGCAAGTTAAAAAACAAAAAAACAAAACGAAACATTTAAATGAAACTTACGGACAGGAAAATCAAACGAACAAGCAAACAAAACAAAAATCTGAATGTCTATACAGCTTTCAAACCTCTGTCGACTACATTAATGAAGGGGATTCTGCGTACTATATACAGACAGGTTAGCATCCATGCATTGTCAACACGAAGCACATTAACATTCCAAATATGGACATGGCAAACAAGGGGGCGTGTAAAGGGAGGGGCTAGGTTCCACAGGGGGGCAGTTCCAATGCAGCCACACCCTGATTTATAGCACAGACGCACAATTGCTGACCCCTGCTCTGCCAAAGCAAATACATATACAGTATAAACCGTAGAGACCATGTACAGTTTGAACGCCCCGTACGGAGAGGCGCACCTGTGGTCAGTTGGTGTGACGGCTAGCGAGCAGCACGTACAGCAAGAGTCCGTGAAAGTCTTCTCGGCAGAACTTGGTATGGCTGTAATTCACATGGTTTCACCGACTTCACTACAACTTCATCTGTTTGTTTATTGGTTAAATAGATATTAGGCTTCAGGGAAAAGTCTTTTATTGATGTTGGTTTTGTCCTTCTTTGTTTGTAGTGTCTTTCTTGTGGATCTTAGACTTGGCAAGCAACAGCGGACCATCTTCATCAGGGATTGAAGGTCATCATCAAAGGCTTCCTACAGAAATGCCCTGAAGCTGGTACAGTATAGTTTCCTTTCATTCAAAATAAAAAACAAAATAAAACAAACACAACAAAAAAGAAAGAATAAACAGCTATTCAAGCTAAATTTTTCTTCTTTCAAAATCAAGCTTCTGAAACTACAAACCCCAACACAGATTCCCTTTAAAAACACTCTTTCGTTACAAGAAAAGGTGTTCAGATGCAGTAAAAGAGCTGTAGGCTGGATCCCTTCATTACAAACACCTATAAGAAATGTCACCAAGGCCTCTTTATCCTTGCAAGGACATTTTTGGTGTGGGTAAAAAAGGTACGATTGGAAATACAAAACCCACTTCAGGGGCTGTGTGGCACACTGCAGTTCTCCTTTAGAAAGATTTTACCTTTGGCAAATTTGGCACAAACTACACAATAGATGAAGTCCAAAATATCTACGTCAGATCTACTGTGCTCAGTCCAGAAACACGATTTCATATATTTACTTACCCACTAAGACTGAAAATCGAACTTTGGAAAGGAGAGTGAAAAATCCTGCAATTGCATTTTCAAAATTTAAAACAGAGCTACTTTTTTTTTCCGGTTTGTTTGTGTTAAACCATGCTATCCTAAAGATGTTTAGAGTCAAATTCAGATTAGTTCTACAATGTCTGCTTTTAAAATCGACCTATGTCTAAAACCGTGACTACTCTATGAGACTTACCTTACAGCTCCATATGCCGCGAATCTACAAAGTACAAAGAAGCAATCTCAGCAGGGTTGGAGGGAAAGCGTGCCCTCGTAAACTCCACATAGATGAGTGACTGACTGTATCTGTATGAGCAAGTTTATCAAGCAAAAGACTACCGATTATACATGCTTGCAAATTGTGTGTCTGAGAACAAATCGCTGAAAGTATGGTCACTGGTTTTGCGTATTTCTCGTAGTGTGTGTCCGTAAATTTATGCGTGTATGCTAGGACGGAAAGTAACAGTCGTAATTGTAAACTCTCGATGTGATCTTGGCAAAAGCATGTCACATGCTGGATTATCTTTACTAGGCTGACCTCACACACGGTCCATCGATTGCATAAATTAATAATCGAAACTGTAACAAACCGCAGTGTGTTTGTATTTGAAAATTCAGGATGTTCCTTAACCCGAGCTCTTTCGATAGCACTTTACGATCTTTGAGAGCATCAGATCAAGGCTTTTAAATCAAAGTCTTGCACTAGTGCACCTCCGGTCTCTAGAGCTTCAGCGCTGGGAGAGAATAGAGCTGGTGTACTGCACTCTCCTTATTGTTATTCTCTTTCTGAACTGGAATGAACTGCACCAGTGCAAGAGAGGGATAAAAACTGGCCTTCACAGGAACTACAAGTTGCTCTTGAGAACAACAAAAGCTGTTTAGGACCGCTCTGATTACATCATCTGTCTGAAAAATCACCCAAGCAAAATTACAGTACCGCTCGGTCCCCGTTAAGATAACAAACCTATAACACACAGCCACATTACCCAGAGTTCCATGGCACTATGAAGGGAGCTTACAGATTCCACGGTCCCACATGGCTTTTATACTGGTTTAGGTTAAAAAAGCACAACTACAGTAGTTAAAGGTAGCAATAGTAGCTTTTATAGTCTAGATTTGATGCTTGAACAATGTGGTCACACCCCGTCCAATCAGATGCAGTCACACAACAAACAGAGGAAGATGAGGATGAAGGAATGGCGTGTTGAGAGAACAGAAGAACGGGCCGATGATCTGCGGAAAATTATTATTCTCGTGAACCCGAAACCGAGTCCGCCGCTGTTGCCTTCCTCTGCAGTCTTTAGTCTTTACCCTTTAGTCTTTGCGTATTTTTCCACAGAATGCATGATCGTGTGTGTCACTGCGTGAAGGTGTGTAGTTCTGCGTGTGTATGCGTGTGTGAGCGCGTGTATGTGTGTTTAGAAGCCCTTGATGTGGCAGTAAGCCTCCAGAGAGGAGAACAGGATGTAGAGGAGCCAGAGGCTGACGAAAAGCATGGTGGTCAGCCCTTTAGCAGTCCGCGAACCCCCCAGCTCGCCGCCGATGTCGGGCCGGCGGCGGTACATGAGCACTGCCACGCAGATAAAGGCGAAAATGGTGAAGAGGGTGACAGAGAAGGCCAGGTTACCCGGCTCCACCCTGAACTCGTGGCCCTTTGAGTTGTGGTAGATGGCGGCGATGGACCAGGCCACTCCGATGCCCAAGAAGACGTTCACGGCGTTGCTGCCTGTCACGTTTCCAATAGACGCGTCGGCGTACTGATCCTGTATCGCTGCCACTTTACTGGCAAAAGTGTCTGAGAGGAAAATGAGAAAGAGAAAGAAAGAAAGAAAGAAAGAAAGAAAGAGGTATTAGTAGAGTAAAAAAAAAAAATCATGATTCATAAAAATGATAAATTGATAATAATAAAAATAATAACTTAGAATTATAATTGTTAAATAAATAATCAAATAAATAAACGAATAAAATGTTCCAAAAGTTCAACCTTAAAACATAAAATGCATTAATGTAACAAAAATACATAGATGAGTGACTAAGCGTATACTGAGCAAGTTTATTTTGTCTATTGTGATAGGTTAATAATGTAATATTGTACTTGTAAAATAAGTAATCAAATAAACAAAGTATTTCAAAATTAAGAATTTTTATGCATTTAGCCATAAATCACAAAAAGCATTAATGTAACAAATGCATAAATGTGACAAATTTAGTGAGGTTTATGCTTAAAACAAGAACGAAAGATAATAAGTAAATAAAATAAAAAAAATCAAGATATATTTTCTGAAAACAAGTAATTAAAAATATTAAATTAAAATGAGTAATTAAAAGAGTTTTACTTCAAGTACTTCTTGCTTGTCTAAATATGTTTAGATCTTTCTTCAGAAAATGAAACAAAAATAATAGTTGATATTTGTTTTCTTGCAGTGCAAGTATATGTGTGCACACAGTACTCATCTTCTCTCTCTTGCTCGTCTCTCCATTTTTGGTGAGGATATAATTTTGTAATAACAGCCTGGTTAACCTCTGATTTGAGTTGAAATCAGAGGGCTGTCTGCTATTTAAACAGTGTGGTTTCTCTTGCTCAGAGACAGCTGCATGCTAACAGGGTGATCTACTGCAGACAGCTGAGAAACCATGAGGATGCTGATTGTGCTTTCTGTCTGGAAAGGCCTCTAAATAATCCTAGATGCACATACACTCCCTTTCTAACTCTTTCTTCCTCTGTCTCATTTAATCTTCCTCTCGCTCTTTCGTTATGCTAATATAGTCCATAACACATTACCCTGCTGAACTGCTCTGGATATGTTGATATAATTCATTGCAGCCTGTGGTCACAAAGAACCATTATCCTCATTTAAAGGTCTTGCTATCCTGCGGATATACACTTTAATATTCACACATTCGTATTTACATGTTTGTGTTCGAGCAGTGCATCTCAAGTGAAAATATATCCAAAAATATTTGATCACTAAACATTACATCAAACAAACAAACAAAAAAAAAAGATGATAGAATAGATACTTGATTTAAAGACATTTTAGTTTCCCCAAAAATATTAATCAGCACATGTTCAACATTGATAATAAGAAAAGTTTCTTAACATCAAATCAGCATTTCTGAAGGATCATGTGACACCTGAGTAAGAATATATTTAATTATGAAAACAAAAAGCAGCTATTTTAAAAATGTAATTTCACAATTTGTTTAAACTGTTTTTGATCAAATAAGTACAGCTTCAGTGAGCAGAAAAAACTAACTCAGAATATGTTTAATATGCCATTTTATTATACATAAAGTTACCAAGTGCTTTTTAGTTTTTGATATTTATCAAGAGCTTAAAGAGGTGTTTTAATGTCACCATGAGGCATCTTTCCGCACTCAACAATGAGCGTTCCCAAAGAAATGAATCAAGGATGTGAACAGCTCAAAGTTGTCATCTGGTAATTACGGTAATTCCAGCGCGACATGACTGCAGCACTCAACATCTGCCTAAAAGTGAAGGTTAGAAACTCTCCCTGCAAATCTGAAAAGTATCTGAGAACAACATCAGCCATTAACGGGCTTAAAGTACAAAAATTTACTCAACATCTCAAAGACACCGCATTATAAAGTGAAAGCTGGGTTTACTGTAAAGTACTTATTTCTGAAATAACATTTTCCTTCTCGTTATTCATCACTGTCCTGTTATGTTGTTGTAAACAACAGCATGGATGGAGCTGTTTCCATAGCATTACCATGGAAATTCTCAGTTAAGGCTCAGCTAACACCCAGTCTGGTGTAAAGTCCTGCCAAAGAGCCTGGCAGCGTGCGGACGACAACTGCCGTTAATGTGGGTGTCATGGCAATGAAAAGCTTCATCCCAGAAAGACGCTCGGGAGCAGTTAATCATTACGGACTTAAACGGATCAGCGTTCCAGACTGTTACAGACTTTGAAACTGTTATAAACTTCAAACTGCTTACGTTTGCACACAGACGTACATTTGTATTAAAAAACGACCACACATATAGTTTAAATGAGTATTTTATCGACAACAAATGTCTCTGCGGCTCAGCCAAACAGCCGATGTATGTCTATGCTGGGAAATGCAAAGCAAACTAAATAACATTTAATCCAAAAATCACTATAATTAACTTTTTATATTACCACACTTTAGCGGCACTGCATTCAGAAGATGCACATCCGTCATCAAACCCAATTACATTTTAAATTAATCGAGCAAATTATTCATTCACAATACTATATGCTGAATCTAAAGGCTTTGTGTTCTGTTTAAAAGCATTGGTGAACGTTGCCTCAGTCATTGTACAGTTTCCTTGGCCTGGTTTCTGGCTGCTCGCTTGGCTAATTGGAAGTTCAGTTGTTTTCCCAGTACTCAATACGGCTTTCATCTCCAACTACAGATTGACACATTTGCTAACTGCTCAATAACGCTCCATTCAGTATGCAACGTGCAGCATTTGTTATCAGAAACAGCAGAAAAACAATGGATGTGGTTGTAAACCTTTCACTAGAAAGTTTTTTTTTTTTTTAATTTTGCTTCATTTACCTTACTAATGACCTTGATTTTTGACCTGTTACTAGTTAAATGTGTAACTACCTCATTGTTTTTGGCACCTGAACCAGATTTTTGTGACTTTATCAAGACCATCTAAACAAACATAATACCAGAAAAATTAATTAATTTTAATTGTTTAATAGAAATTAACACATTATTTCATCTGTAAAAATAAAAGAGCAAATTCAAGATGTTATGCAGCTTTAAAAAGGTAGTTCACTTCCAGAATGAAAATTCTGATAATTTACTCACCCCTAAGTCATCCAAGATGTTAATGTCTTTCTTTCTTCAGTCGCAAAGAAATTACGTTTTTTGAGGGAAACATTTCAGGATTTTTTTCCATATAGTGGACTTCAACAGGGATCAGCGGGTTGAAGGTCCAAATTCCAGTTCCAATGCTGCTTCAAAGGGCTCTAGATGATCCCAGCTGAGGAATAAGGGTCTTATCTAGCAAAACGATCGGCAATTTTCTTAATTTTTTTTTTTAAAAATACTTTAACCACAAATGCTCGTCTTGCACTAGTGACTTCACGCATTGTATAATCATGTTGGAAGTGTCACACGCAGTAAGTTCTTCATCTGTGTAAAAAAAACTCCATATCATTTTCTCCTTCAACTTCAAAATTGTCCGACAACATTGTTCAACCTCTTTTTGTAAAGGGCATTTGACTTTCTTTGCACGTTCGCTTTGTAAACACTGGGTCGGTACTTCTGCATACATCACATGTGCGTGATTACGTAATGCTTGAGGTCAAACTACTGCAAGACAAGCATTTGTGGTTAAAACGTATAGACATTTTTATTCTTTATAGAAAATGACCGATCATTTCGCTAGATAAGACCCTTTTTCCTCGGCTGGGATCGCGTAGAGGCCTTTGAAACTGCATTGAAACTGAAATTTGGACCTTCAACCTGTTGGCCACCATTGAAGTCCACTATATGGAGGAAAATCCTGGAATGTTTTCCTCAAAAACCTTAATGTCTTTTCAGTTTAGTTTATTTGTTTACAGGGGCAACACACATTAATAAACATGGCTGTAAATGTGTCAGAATTAGCCAAAGAGGCTATTTTTTTCGAACGAAGAAAAAAAAAGACATGACCATCTTTTGGATGACATGGGTGTGATTAAATTATCAGGAAATTTTCATTCTGGAAGTGAACTACTAGTAAAATAGTTTAACAATTAATCAAACTTGACTAAAAATTTAAGATTTTCTAAGCTTTAGGCCCTTGAACAAACTTTTCTCTAACACTTAGGAAAATACATCTTCCCATAGATTATATAGTTTCCTCCTCACACATACACATGCACTCGCTCTCTCTCTCTCTCTCTCTCACACACACACACACACACACTTGCATTTGTGGTTTACGCGGACTCTCCACAGGCGTAATGGTTTTTATACTGTACAAACTGTATTTTCTATCGCCCTACACCTAAAACCTACCCCTTACAGAAAACTACCGGCAATTTAATAAAACACCATTTTGTATGTTTTTTAAGCCTTTTGGTTTACGGGGACACAGGAAGAGTCCTCATAAACCATGTTTACATTATAGTACCCATGTCATTATACACATTTGTGTCCTTATAAACCATATATACCAGTACACACACACACACACACGCAGTTGTAAGCAGGTAATGGTGATTTTAGCTGATAGGGTACAATGTAAATTATTTTTTATCTGATAGGGTACAATGTCTCTAAGGGCTGCTGGGATAAAAACCACTTGGATGCAATTTTCTCCTAAAACAAAATCGACAACAGCACTTTTCTAAACATCTGTAGTACTCCTACTAAGGCAGTCATGATATTAGATTTTCACTACACGATAATCTTGGACAAAAGAATTCATGACAATGATATCACCACTAGATCTAGAAAAATTTGAATAACAATGATTAGATTGTGTTTTATCTTTTTTGGCCAATGAATAAAATAATTAAATGAATAAAAACATTTGCCTTCAAAAGCATGCAGTGATGCCTGGAATCACTTTAATAATGAAAATAGTTAAGTGCAAGATGTGCAGCACCAATCGGTCACAAACATAACATTATAATGAGAACACTATTATAACAATGTATTTTAAAAAAAGCATATTCACGGCATGAAATAAAAATTCTAACTAGCACGGTTAAGTTCACTTGTGCATTTGCATTGTTTTGTGCAGATCCTAATATTATGTTTATAGTATATATCTGATTATTCTCAAACAGGATGCATTTGTGTGGCTGGCAAAACACTTCAGCAAACTGCTGTTCATTAGCTTCCGCTCATGCAGATCAAATGGCAATACCCAACATTATTGGCTATGATTGAATTTAAAGCAATCATATTCATTTTAGATGTTTCTTTTTCAAATCAAATCAATACATTAAAAATATATCAGTGTTATTTTTCTGATAAAGTCATAGTAGTATAGTATTAACATGATATCCTATTTGATGTCAGGCCTATTTCCTTTTATAAACCCCACGCTTATTGCCAATACACAATATATATTGCAAAACCCCTATAACCATGATATCAATATTTAATTTCTTAAATATCACAGTTATCAACAATACTGGTATACTGCAAAACCCCTAACTTCCACAAATTGTTCTGCATAAATGCAGAGAAATTGATTTGTTACCAGAACAATATAAACATTTATTATAAAACAGTAATAAAATGCTAAAAGTGATTGAAATAAATATGAAAAATGGGACACTGTTTATTAAAGTTCTTCAATACTGGTTTTTGCACAAACTGTGCTACTCAATCAATATTTAATTAATGTTTCTTTTTCTATTGCAATACAATTTAGGGCCAAAAAAATTCAAGGAAATGTATCCTTTTGTTTAAGAGATAGTTCACCTAAAAATAAAAAAAAACATTATGACTTTTTATTCCTTATTATAAGATGTTCCTTATTAGACAACTTAGTTGTCTTGGACCCCATTGACTTTGAATATATGGAAAAAAGCATTATTCAAAAAAATCTTCTTTTGTGTTCCACAGAGTAAAGAAAGTCATGCAGGTTTGGATCGACATGAGGGTGAGTAAATAATGACAAGAATAACATTTCCGGGTGCACTATCCCTTTGAGGATGTTTTGAGAAAATACTAATTAAGAAAATGATGTCCTTGTGTGTACGCATTACATTGTCCACGTATGATGGCTTTTACTGGAAAGCAAGACGCAAATGCAAGAAAACTATTTTCTGCGGTGAGATGAGAAGAGCAAAAGGGCGAGAAATAGAGGATGAAAAGAAAATAAATGGGGTGAGTGAGGTAAAGAGGGAGAAGAACAGCATTAACATACACACACGCTTAGACAGAACACTCACACTGATCTGTATCAAATACAAATTCAAACAAACTAATTCAAAAAGATTTAAAGACTGAATCATTATGAGTCGCTATTGAATATTCAGACAGAAATGTCAGATACATACAGTGTATACAGTATGTTTATGTATATGTGTATGTTTATTTCATCACAGCTCAAGAGTATTTGAAGGTCACGGTGATGTTTGCGGTCACTGCAACACATGTGTAAATATGCACACATCTGTGCTAAAGAGACAGAAGGTCAACGTGATGCTTTATGTGCCATCCATCAGTGTGTCTGAAGGGAGCAAACACCTCATAAAAGAGCATCAGTTTGCTTTCAGACCACAGTCAGCATACATAAATACACAATTGACAATGCAATAAAAAAAAAAAATAAAATTTAAACAAGATCAATTGACTTAATCAGCAAAATTGTGTAACATACTGTTCTATTTCAATCTAAATATAGATTTCCGCATTTGTCCATAGAGTTTTTTTCAAATTTAGATTACATTTGGCAGTTATTTTGCCCTAAATGAGGACATACTATAGACTTATAATGTAAACTTTTTAAAATTATTATTGTTAGTAGGCCTATTGTTTATATACTATATATTAATCATTTGAATTGTAGTTGAATTGTGTACAGAAACTTTTTATCGATATGTAGAGCACATGGCGCGTGTGTGTTCAGGAAGGTTGTAATCTGTTTGATATTCTGTTGGTGTTGCGTTTCCTTGAGAGCATAAAGAGAGCAGCCTCCAGACGCCCACACAGTGCTCTCTGACAGGTGAGGCTGTTCCTTTAAAGTGTGATTAGATGCTACAGGATGTTCAGAAATCTCACCTATTCACAGCAGCAGCTGAGAGCACACGCATTCAAGTCACTGGCAAGGGGATTTAGTCATTGTTTCGCCAAGACATTCATTCTGTTCACGGGCAAAAACCTGATTGTGCACTGTGATTAAAAGGATTATTGATAGAGTAGATGCTTAGGCTAGAACATACACACACGCTTAGACAGAACACTCACACTGATCTGTATCAAATACAAATTCAAACAAACTAATTCAAAAAGATTTAAAGACTGAATCATTATGAGTCGCTATTGAATATTCAGACAGAAATGTCAGATACATACAGTGTATACAGTATGTTTATGTATATGTGTATGTTTATTTCATCACAGCTCAAGAGTATTTGAAGGTCACGGTGATGTTTGCGGTCACTGCAACACATGTGTAAATATGCACACATCTGTGCTAAAGAGACAGAAGGTCAACGTGATGCTTTACGTGCCATCCATCAGTGTGTCTGAAGGGAGCAAACACCTCATAAAAGAGCATCAGTTTGCTTTCAGACCACAGTCAGCATACATAAATACACAATTGACAATGCAATAAAAAAAATAAATAAAATTTAAACAAGATCAATTGACTTGATCAGCAAAATTGTGTAACATACTGTTCTATTTCAATCTAAATATAGATTTCCGCATTTGTCCATAGAGTTTTTCTCAAATTTAGATTACATTTGGCAGTTATTTTGCCCTAAATGAGGACATACTATAGACTTATAATGTAAACTTTTTTAAATTATTATTGTTAGTAGGCCTATTGTTTATATACTATATATTAATCATTTGAATTGTAGTTGAATTGTGTACAGAAACTTTTTTTTAGCTCAATAGCTTTATTTTTAACTTCAGTTTTAGCATTAGTAATTTTAGCACTTCAGTGTATTATCCTTTTTTAATCAAATTTATATTACATTTTATTTCCGCTTTTTCAATTACTGAAAAACATTTTAAAAAGTTTGTTAACAGCAACACCGAGCTTAACCCTCAAAGATTATTTTGAATTTTTTGTTTATTATAAATAAAATGATTTATGAAAAAATGCTTCACGAATCATTTGTCCAATTAAGGACATCCCCAAATGTCTCCAAAGGGAGGTTTGCGTCACATGTAACTTCTGGCGACAATTTTGTGTCCAATCTATAGATAAGTAAACCCCCACACAATCAGTGCTCATGTTGTTTACTCTCTCCTCATCTTTCGATATAAATCATCTCGCTGTACTGCAGAGTCTGACATTTAGCAAAGCTTTTAAACTTGAAACTCTTCAATTTACCACCATTAGCTGCAGACCTTTTATTCTTCTTTGTCCCTATCTGTGTATATGTGCATGTGTGTATCCAAGTGTCCTGATAAAAAGTCGTGGACAAATTTCTGTTCAGTTCTCAGTGGTGCTAGATAAAAAAAAAAATCCATCTGTCAATGATGGCAAATGATTAATGCATGTTTGATGTTAGGTAGGATGTTCATGCTGCTTTTTTACATAACGAAGGTGAATGGTGACCAGCGGCTACCAAAGTCCAAAAAAAAAGTCTTGACAACAAATCTGAATGAGATTTGAAGGAAAAGACTCACAAGAACAATTCACACTTAATCATTTTTGAAATTCTATTTTGAAAACAACCAAAATCACTGTAGATACTTTATGAAAAGACTTGGTCTGTACACTGTACTGGTGATTCCAGGTCAGTTCTGACAGCAGACAGAGCAACATACACGCGTACACACAAACAACACACACAAGTGTCCTGATAAAAAGTCGTGGACAAATTTCTGTTCAGTTCTCAGTGGTGCTAGATAAAAAAAAAAATCCATCTGTCAATGGCAAATGATTAATGCATGTTTGATGGTAGGTAGGATGTTCATGCTGCTTTTTTACATAACGAAGGTGAATGGTGACCAGCGGCTACCAAAGTCCAAAAAAAAAGTGTCTTGACAACAAATCTGAATGAGATTTGAAGGAAAAGACTCGCAAGAACAATTCACACTTAATCATTTTTGAAATTCTATTTTGAAAACCACCAAAATCACTGTAGATACTTTATGAAAAGACTTGGTCTGTACACTGTACTGGTGATTCCAGGTCAGTTCTGACAGCAGACAGAGCAACATACACGCGTACACACAAACAACACACACACACACACACACAGGCTTTTAACCTTGCTTTGCCCCAGAGCACAAATTGGCACCCTGAGAGGTGTTCAAGTGTGAATCACTAAGTCACCAACACCTGATCCACACAAACACACACACACACGGCTAGAGAAGCAGCCTCTATGATCATCAGTCTCTCTGAGGTCGTGCTGCGAGTGCTAATTACTTCAAAGAAAACAAACTGAAAAAAAATCCCTCTCGTTTTTCTTTCTCCGCCTCCATCTACTTTCTTTTTCTCCTTTGCACAGAGAATGGAGACTCCTTTGTGTATAGCCCTAAGAGAGGTGAAGCTGTAAAACAGCTTTTCTTGAGAAACACCGCAGCCACCAGGGGGCGCTTTACAGCAGAGAGTACAGGCGCTTTTGAAATTTCAAATGGAAACCATAAACAACAACATCTGATGCAATCTATATAACCCAGGGATGCCTAAGCCTGCTCTTGGAGGGCCACTTCCAGCAGAGCTTAGCTTTAACCTTATTAAACACACTCAAACCAGCTAATCAAGCTCTTTAGGATTTCTAGAAATGTCCAGGCAGGTGTATTAGAGCAGGCTGAACTCTACAGGAAGATGGCCCACAGGAGCAGGATTGGACACCCCTGATAACCCAATCGAAACAACAGTTAGTAGTATTTAACTAAAAAATGTATTTTATAACAGCAATAATAACAAAAGTCTCGCAGGCACTTCTGGCAACACTCACAAGTGATTATCATCTCGAACGAGATGCTCTTTTTTAATGAAACACTAAATCAGTCCTCCCAATGTTCCTCACAAACTGAAACACTCACCGGCGCTGACTGTGATGGCCTCGATGAACTGGTCCCTCCAGCTGTTGGTACCAACCAGAAGAGCCAAGTTTGTCTTTTTAATCAGCTTATCAACTGTATTCTATAGAGAAAAGTGAGAGACAGCACACAAAGAAAATGAATGAACGTTTCATTATATTCCAGTGCAAATTAACAGGAATAAACAAACTTAAACACACTTCAGGCACGGTGGACCACAGTTCCTTCGAGTGCTTCTGACTGCTCTCTGGTCTGCCCCGTTGTGAAGTGTGTGTGGGATCGGAGTGTGTGCGCGTTTTAGCAAGGCGAGTGTGTGCATGTGGATCGTCCTGAAGTGTGTGGAGGCGATCGATGAGATGCCAACGTTTAAGATCTCTGAACTTCTCTGACAGAACCATAGTGTCTTGTGTGTTTCCATAAGCAACAAAAAGGAACATTTTTCTACAGAAAAACAGGTATTTTTGAATTATATGTGACCTAAAAAGTTAGTTAGTCAATTCTAAATGTAGCAACCCAGAGTCATGTTTGTGCACTGCAAATAATGAAAATGATCCTTAATAAATAATAAAAAGTGCATGTTTAAAGAATATTGCAGTAAATTATTTAATGGGAGCTTATAATTACCATTTGACAGTATAATTGGCTAAACTGGTAAATTTATACCAGTATACTATACACATGTAAATGAATAGTTCATTTAAAAATGAAACATTTTGTCGTTATTCACTCAAACTTCATGTCGTTACAAGCCTGTTTAACTTTTTAGCAGAACATAACAAAAGATATTTTGAAGAACTGTTTTTGTGCAAGCAATGAAAGCCAAGAGGGGTGCAAAACAACATCAGACACTCATGAATTTAATTGTACGGATAAATGTACACTAAAACATTCTTCAAAATATCTTCTTTTGTGTTTTACAGGTTTAGAACAACATGAGGTTAGTATATGTGACAGTCATTTTTGGGTGAAAGTTGCTTTAAAGGGATAGTTCACCCAAAAATGAAAATTTGATGTTTATCTGCTTACCCCCAGGGCATCCAAGATGTAGGTGACTTTGTTTCTTCAGTAGAACACATTTGATGATTTTAAGTCCAACCGTTGCAGTCTATCAGTCCTATAATGCATGGCAATGGTAACCAAATCTATAAGTGTAAAAAAAACATGCACAGACAAATCCAAATTAAACCCTGCGGCTCGTGACGACACGTTGATGTCCTAAGACACGAAACGATCGGTTTGTGCCAGAAACCGAACAGTATTTATATAAATTTTTTACCTCTAATACACCACTATGTCCAACTGTCTTTGGGCGCACACACGACTTCCGGTGCGTGAGGCGTGTAGGCGCTCTGGCGTAGTTTACGTTAATGGATGTTGTCGCGGGAGGAGCAAACGACAGACACAGTGGGTGTGGCGTCAGGCCTCAGAGAGGCTTTTATTAACAGAAAATAAACAAAGTGTCCAGAAAAAAGGGAATCAAGTGTCCAAAATAAACAGGGGATCTGGTGTCCTCGTCGTGCTGCGGGGCTTGTGAAGGGAAGGGCAGTGGTCCAGAAGCCCTGGCTATTTCAGCGCCCCTCCTCTCACACGCACCCACTCATGTCGGGATCCTGGCAAAGGGCGGCGATTAAGGGACGGGGTGATGCTGATAATCAGGGGGAGGCAGCCGACTCGTCACAGTGTGTTGATATCCAGCCGAAGAGCAATCAACCATAACTTCAGGCGAGCAGGCTCAGAAGTTGGGAATACGTGGAAAGTCAGCACTCCCGAATGAGTTCGCGCCAGAGAATGTAATCTTTTAGTTTTAAGTTGGTTTGAACAATCTGGATAAGCGCAAGTAAGTACCATTTTGATTAGCCGTCGTACCTACAATGACTGTGCACTGTGTAAACAATGAGTGACGTATACGCGCGAGAGATCACTTCCGGCGCTTGCGTAAACTACGCCAGAGCACGTACACACCTCACGCACCGGATGCCGTGCGTGCGCCCAAAGACAGTTGAACATAGTGGTGTATTAGAGGTAAAAAAATTATATAAATACTGTTCGGTTTCTGGCACAAACCGATCGATTCGTGTCTTAGGACATCAATGTGTCGTCACGAGCCGCAGGATTTAATTTGGATTTGTCTGTGCATGTTTTTTTTACTCTCATAGATTTTGTTACCATTGCCATGCATTATAAGACTGATAGACGGCAACGGTTGGACTTAAAAATCATCAAATGTGTTCTACTGAAGAAACAAAGTCACCTACATCTTGGATGCCCTGGGGGTAAGCGGATAACATTTTTGGGTGAACTATCCCTTTAATGTGATTATGAATAAATGGGAAATGTGTAGCTAAATTAACACACCTTGAATTCATAAGATTCCTCAATGATAACCTCCAGTTTAGGGTGATCTCCTAGCATTGGCTTCCCCATTTCAGCAATGCGTCGTTCCTCTTCCTCTTCGCCTGTCAGAGGCTCCGCCTCTTCCTGCCCCACCTCTTTCTCCTCCTCTGAAAACAAAAGCACCAGTCAGAGAGTAGAAAACAAACTATCCAAACCAGCCAACTTATATTTCAAATGATCATCTAGAGCGTGTTTGTGGATCAATGGGTTTCTGTGGATAAACTGGATTGTGTAAATACATTTCATGAAAATAAATTGAAACACAATAATTTGGCTCTGAGTTGGGAAGTCCTATAAAAGGTCAAAATCACAGATCTTCGCTGACAAATTTAGAAAATGGGTCAATTTCATGAAACTACTTTTATACTTTTATAATAGAATACACACAGACCACTGTGACCCTGTATATGAGAAATATGTCAGGGGCAGGATTTTTCCTTCATTTCTTTCATGCGAGGAAGCTTCTATGGGCCCAGTGGGATTCTGGGTAAGTAAGTGTGTGATATAAGCAACCCCTGACCATGTGACTGGGTTTAGCCCAATCAATCACCCACATTCACACACACAATGAAATGAGAGGGTCAAAGGAAAGCAGCAGATGCAGACCTAAATGCACGGAGGTATGATGAGGTTTGGAAAGGAAAACAATTAGGTTACAGTAGAGACACATGCACACACTGATGTGGACAGACAAAAGGGAAGGCCTGGGAAAGGAGAAAATGAAAATCCTTTGGGCAGCACCATGGTGATTTCAGTGGAAATGTAATTCTCCGAGTCCTATCACATATATTCTCTCTATCACTTTCTCTTTCTGTCTCATTTATTTCATATTTCTTCTCAGTTCACGAGCTCAGCTGGCATAACGGCTACACCAACAACAGCAATAGTCATAAAACAATGTTACGATGACTACATTCCCAAGCGCAACACAAACATGAGCCTCATAGGCAGAAACGGCTGCGTAAACGAATGAAATATCTAATGGAACAAATAAATCTCAAGCCACAAATGAACCCTGAGGCATTAGTGGAGGATTCCAGAGCAAGATTCTCTGTCAGATTAATGGCAGAGCAACTCGTTCCTGTAGCCTAAACAGTCTCTCTCTCTGTCTTAATATTTTATGTTCATCTTTTCCAGAGTAATCTGCTCATCTTTTTCTTAGACTAAGTTCTCTTTTTTAAGAAAAGTTAAATGTTTTTAATTTCTTACATGTAATGGGGGTTTGGGACCACTGAGATTTGCATGCATCACTGAGATGTGAGTGTGATACATCCACAGAAAAGGAAGTATAGGAAGTAAATTGAAAGACCAACAGAAAATGTGGCACATCTTCGGTGTAATAAAGTAAGGGCAACTAAAAATTAATTGGTTACATTTTGATACTGTGCTTAGATTTGGTAATTAATCGAGATGCTCACACAACAAATGAAACACAACATGAAGATTGTGAGTCATGTTTGTCTGCGTGTGTAAACTGATATTGATTTAATAGGCTAAGGTTCCCTCTTCCTTGTTTTGTCCTTGAAAACAGAGCTATCATTTTCTATCGACAGCTTGGTGCTACAAATCTCGCATGAGCACACGCAAACACAGTCCATCCAGCCATCCGTTCCTTTCATTTTCATTATCTCTTCAGCTGCCCTTTATATTTCTAGTCTCTTCTTTTCTTTTTTCATTCATACTAAACAATCTGTTTTCTCTTATCTACAGTATGAAGGCTTTGAATCATCCAGGGTACTTTCACATGTCTTACAAGCAAAGCTAATCAAAGGCAACTGGACTTGATTATTAATTATTTTGAAGGCGATTCCCACTCATCTGAGTGTCTTAATCAGTTTTTTTGTTAATCACTGATGAAGTTGTATGGATGAGTGGCAAATCATCAAAAAATGTATAATCAAATCCAGCTGCATTTGATTTGAACTCTACCTGATGTTCCTCTCTCTTTGGGTTTCCATGTTTTTAAGCACTGGATCTCTTTTTATTGTATTTTATATTAATCATGCTAAAACACAGCATTAATCAAAACAAGCGAATATCAAGAAGTAAATATAAATATGATAAAAAACATTTGATACACATCAAAACATTGAGGTGCTGGGAAAAAGAGCCATTTTGTTTCCTGGAAAATACATGTTTATCTAAATGTGAGATGAAACACACTCGACCAGCCTTGGCTTTGAAGGCAGCTCACAATCTTGAGCTCTGAGTCTTTTTAGCTCCCTTAATCTCTCCTCATGATTTACAGCCCAGCATCTGAACTCATTTGCTGGCGTGTCTTAACTTTTCCTTTGTGTCTAGTTATGAGATTATTGCGAAGAAACGAAATTAAACAGTTCACTTTGAAGCTTTCTTTCTCAACCTGCTAATATTCTGAGCACACCCTATATGGTAAACTACAAAAAAGAGTGCGTAAGAGATGATTATGACTATAAATTATAAGGTCATATCATCCTTTTGAAAAAAGTGTTTTGTGTACAATGCTTACAAGCATCAGAGCTCAAAACTCTCAAACACCAGACCATTCAAAAGTTTGGGGTCAGTAAAACATTTTTTTTTGGAAAGAAATTAAAGGATTAGTTCACTTCCAAAATGAAAATTTCCTGATCATTTTCTCACCCCCATGTCATTGAAGATGTTCATGTCTTTCCTTCTTCAGTTGAAAAAATTCCAGGATTTTTCCCCATATAGTGGACTTCAAAAGCGACCAATGGGTTGAAGGTCCTAATTGCAGTTTCAATGCAGCTTCAGAGGGCTCTAGATGATCCCAGCCGAGGAATAAGGGTCTTATCTAGCAAAACGATTGGTCATTTTCTAAAAAAACAAAACAAAAATCTATGATCTTTAACCACAATTGCTCATCTTGCACTAGCGCTGCAATGCGTGTCCACAACTTCACGCATTATGTAATCACATTGGACAGGCACAAACAAAGCGAACGTGCCAAGACTAAATCAAACGCCCTTTTCAAAAAAGGTAAAATAATGATGTTGGATGATTTTGAAGTTGGAGGAGAAAAACAGATGGAGTTCGGTCCTCCTTCTGCCTACGTCACACACAACCTTTCCAATATGTCTATATAATGTGTGAAGTTATGGACACGCATCTAAGAGCTAGAGCAAGATGAGCATTTGTGGTTAAAAAGTATGTACATTTTTGTTTTTTTAGAAAATGAGCAATCGTTTTGCTAGATAAGACCCTTATTCCTCAGCTGGGATCGTGTAGAATCCTTAGAAGCTGCACTGACACTGCAATTTGGACCTTCAACCCCGCTGGTCTCCGTTAAAGTCCACTTTATGGAGACAATTCCTGGAAAGTTTTCCTCAAAAACCTTAATTTCTTTGCGACTAAAAAAGAAAGACATGAACATCTCGGATGACATAGGGGTGAGTAAATTATCAGGAAATTTTTATTCTGGAAGTGAACTAATCCTTTAATACATTTATTCCCTAAGGATGCATTAAAAGTGACAGTAAAGCCATTTATAATGATTCAATGTCAAATAAATGGTGTTCTACTTAACTTTCTATTCAGAATCCTGATAAAAATGTATCATGGTTTCCACAAAATTATTAAGCATATAAAATATTAAAACATTTTCAATATTTATGTTACAAGAAATGTTACTTGACACGGAAGACTGGAGTAATAGATGCTGAAACTTCAGTTTTGAAACTTCAGAAATATATACAGTTCACATACATATATTATGTAAACCAAAACTTTTATTTTGGATGCGATTAATCACGATTAATCATTTGACAGCATTATTAAAATAGAAAACAATTATTTTCAATTGTAATAATATTTTATTACATATATATTATATACATATATTATATGTTTTTGCTGTATGTTTGATCAACAAAATGCAGCTTTGTTGAGTATATATATCTTTCAAGAACATCATAAATATAAACTCTGATCCCAAACTTGGATGGTAGTGTACATTGAAATAAAGCTGTTAATATGCACATAACAATGCCTTATATGATACATGTTATTGCTCCCAAACACCAGAAGACACTATTACTTTAAATGGTGTCTAACTAAAGACAAGAGCAAGATATGGAGAAGGTCTACCAAAACGTTCTTCTGATTCTGGCAAGGCTTTAAAAAAAAAAATCCCTTGTTTTAGAGCAATGACTGATTGACAGGTAAGTAGGCGGTCCCTCACTGGATGCATAAGCATAGATTAGCAGCTACATTATGGCCACATGGGTTTTCAACTACCTCCATTTATATTTGCTTTTAGCTCTGTCCACTTCAAAACTGTGTTAACTGTGTTCATGTCAGATTTGGAGCAATAATCCTTGAGTAACATTAAAGCAAGTAGAATCTGGCTCCTACTGTATGTGTAAGGTATACGTGTTAATGTGCGAGAAGTTGTGTGTTCAGCGAAAACAAATAAATGTCATTAAATTAGTAAGACAACACACCGACACCAGGAGAGAAAGAGAGAAGGTGAGACTCTGCCCATAGGAAGAGAAGAGTAAAAAGCTAAGGAAACACTGTGAGAGGGAGAGAAACCTCTGTATACTGTCCATCCTCTCCTTCTCCAAAGTGGCGTCTGTAGTTCTATGCAAAAGCTGCATTGCTTATCGTATTCCTCTCGATTGAGAACCCTGACTGATATCGTCTTCCTGCAGAAACAAGACAACAGGAGGGGGGTTGGAATAATGCATGCATGATACACACACACATACAAGCAAGCACACGCGAGGGCCTGGCCGGATGGCTGTCGATGGTATAGTTTGGCCTCTAGTTGATCCCGATGATGATCCAGAGGTTCAGAGTGGAGTGGTGTTTAGTGTGTGTGTGTTGTATGTGTGATTTCCTCTGCAGGCTCAGGCCACGCCCCCCACCTTCCTTCTCATTGGTCTCTTCGAGCTTGGGTTCTCCGATCTCCAGGAAGAAGCCTTTGTTCTTCTCGTATTCTTCGTCATCAATTATCCTGACTTTTATTGTTTTGCTGGAGAGAGGGGGAGAGAAAGAGAGGGAGAGGAAGAAAAGAGTGAGGAAAAGACAGGCCAAGGGAAAACGAAGAAAGATAAACGGCATGCAGTCATGCACAGGCAGACCGTCAGAATAAGAGGATGATGCAAGAGAGACAGAAAGAGAGAGAGCAGCCTCACAAGTCTGACTGTAAATACACATTCACAAACACTGATACAATCTATAGTCGCTCTAATTTTTCTACTCACTCCACAAAGTCTATTTATGTTGGGGCGTATCCTTAATTCATTTTATAAATTCATATTTTTAAACCACCTTGTATACCGTTTTACTACATATATTTTTTCTTGAATAATTTCATATTTGTACATTTGTTAAATAAATAAGGCTCATTTCTAAATTCTAATGACATGATATGCTTATTTACTTGATAAGCACATTTATTTGATAAGCAAATTCATAAATCAATATATGCTGAGGAAAGCCACCAAATGAATTGATAATTCAAATCATAATGCAAAGACATTACATTACTGTAGATGAAAGAATTGAATAAACTTCACAAAGTGCTTTTACAAGTCAATATACTGTTTGTTTTATTTCCATATCATTAAACATAAGCTATCACTGGCCAACATAATCCATTTCGCAATCGAGTTTGCCAATAATAATTAATTTTTTACAACTTAATTCTTTTTAATCACACAAACTTAATTTAAATTGACAGCCCTATAAATAAATAAAGAAATATTTTGTTAAATAACATATATATACAGTAAATATTCATATATAATGTGGCTAATAGTTATCTAGAGGCCATCATCTTATTTACAAAAAGAAAATCTCAAGATTTTATAAATGTAAGAATAAAAATAATATTGCATGGGTTTTGTGGGCTTGTGTATGAATTTAAAATCTGTACTGTTCTAAGATGCAGTCAGTATCTTGTGAATTAGTCAGCGCTGCATATTTACAAGATTTATAACAGCTTCAGTTGCATATTAAATAAAATCAATGGATGTGTGGATGGACTCCAGTTTAAATGGCTAGTCATTTAGCTCTGACTCAAGAACTCTCAAGCTTATTCTCAGATTTTATATTTTGCCTGAATTCTTCCTCATCTGCACATCCAGCCCTGTATGCTTAGAGGGAACACTGAATACAAACCTCCATCTCCAAACTAACAAAATCAACCATCATCAGAACTAGAAACAAAATCCTTCATACACACATTCAGACCACTTGCTGCTATATGTTTGCATGACCTTTCTCCAAGAGCAACCTCAGCCCACAACATTACAACAATAAAATCTCCACAACCAACCATGTCACATTGGCCTGATGTCATGAACAGGAAATCTAAATCGACTGTCTTGGCCTACATTTCTTCTCCCTTAATATCAAGTATCATGGCTGCATGGCTGACGTTGTAGTACTGTTTCATTAAATGTTGTTTGTGCTATACATTTAGTTTACAATTTAAATCATTTTTATAGAAGAAAAATGATGTGATAAAGCTCTGAAAATTGTGGTGACTTATAGGGTTATTTCACCCCCCAAAAAATTTTTGGCTGTGTTTTACTCACTCCCGATGCATCCTAGGTGTATATGACTTTCTTCTTTCAGACGAATCCAGTCGGAGTTATATTAAAAATGGTCTTTGATCTTTCAAGCTCTATCGTTGTACTCAGCGGGTGTTGCATTGCTTCTGTCCAAAAGACGTGAAATAAAAAGCACCCTTCCACAAAAAAAAGTGTCTCACATGGCTCCGGGGGGTGAACAAAGGCCTCCTGTAGCGAATCGATGAGTTTTTGTAAGAAAAATATCCATATTCAAAACGTAATAATCACTTAAATCTAGCTTGCGCTCACTGTTATAAAACGGAAGCAGTTCCGGGCGAATTACATATGAGGTCAGCTTTGCGCATGCGCCGCTCAGAAGTGACACATGCGGAGAGTTCGAAACAAAACAACGGTCACTAATTAGAAGTACAAAACGAGGATTTGTAAAGAAGAATGTCGGAGGATTTCGATATAAGCCAAGAGGAGACTTGTTTTCCTTTGCTAAAGTAAGGAAACTTTGCTTCTTTGGATCCTGTAAACAAACGTTGGTTTTCACGAGACTCACCGGCGCATGCGCAACGCTGATCTCATACGTCATGCTCCCGGAACTGCTTCTGTGTACAACTGCTGGCGCAAGCTACATTGAAGTGATTATTACATTTTGAATATGGTTTTGTTGGCGCGGGGGCAGTGCTTATTCAAGAGGACACCCAAGGTATTGACCATCCTGTATGCTACTTCTCACGTAAATTCAACAAAAGTCAGTTGAATTACTCCACTATTGAGAAGGAAACCTTAGCTTTGCTGTTGGCATTGCAGTATTTTGATGTATATTTGAGTTCAAGCAATTTACCAATAACTGTATATACTGATCATAACCCTTTAGTGTTCCTATCTCGTATGCGTAACCAGGATCAGCGGCTAATGCGCTGGTTGGCTCCGGGGGGTGAACAAAGGCCTCCTGTAGCGAATCGATGAGTTTTTGTAAGAAAAATATCCATATTCAAAACGTAATAATCACTTAAATCTAGCTTGCGCTCACTGTTATAAAACGGAAGCAGTTCCGGGCGAATTACATATGAGGTCAGCTTTGCGCATGCGCCGCTCAGAAGTGACACATGCGGAGAGTTCGAAACAAAACAACGGTCACTAATTAGAAGTACAAAACGAGGATTTGTAAAGAAGAATGTCGGAGGATTTCGATATAAGCCAAGAGGAGACTTGTTTTCCTTTGCTAAAGTAAGGAAACTTTGCTTCTTTGGATCCTGTAAACAAACGTTGGTTTTCACGAGACTCACCGGCGCATGCGCAACGCTGACCCCATACTTCATGCTCCCGGAACTGCTTCTGTGTACAACTGCTGGCGCAAGCTAGATTGAAGTTATTATTACATTTTGAATATGGTTTTGTTGGCGCGGGGGCAGTGCTTATTCAAGAGGACACCCAAGGTATTGACCATCCTGTATGCTACTTCTCACGTAAGTTCAACAAAAGTCAGTTGAATTACTCCACTATTGAGAAGGAAACCTTAGCTTTGCTGTTGGCATTGCAGTATTTTGATGTATATTTGAGTTCAAGCAATTTACCAATAACTGTATATACTGATCATAACCCTTTAGTGTTCCTATCTCATATGCGTAACCAGGATCAGCGGCTAAGGCTCTGGTTGTCCAAGGTTACCACCTGATGATTGAACACAAGAAAGGTTCAGAAAACGTAATGACTGATGCTTTGTCAAGAACTTAAAAGAAGATTGGAGTAAGGATCGTTAAAACTATATGGTTTTAACCCATATCGTTTGTCTTAAGGGGGGGAGTGTTACGTTCCACGTGTGTTCTGTGTATATTATGTTTCTTTTTGCTCGTTAAGAATGCATGTGAGTGTGTCCAGCTACTCCATCACATTTTCCCTTCTGTGATGATCAGAATATTTAGTCGGTCGTTGTTATATGGCTTGTTTTGTTTTTTCAGTAGGTTAGTTTATATTCTGTTAGATTAGGCTTGTGAGTGTTATGCCACCCTTGTATTTTTGTTTTTAGTTTATGAGAGTTTAGTTTGGGCGTCGCATACGCTGAAGATTCCGGTTTTATTTTCATACTTTATTTTGGTAGTTAGTTTAGAGGTTACTTATAAGGAGTGTTGTGTTTTTGTTTATTTCTTTAATTTGGGTGACACTCATGCTTTTGTTTCTTTTTCTTTTCTATGGTTAGACATTGTTAGACCAAACTACTTGTATCTTCTCTCAACACGCTCAGTAAAGTCTTTCTAAGGAGCATCTCAGTATTGTCTTCGATCCGCACCACACCCAGTAACAGCTGTCCCACCTAAATGTTACGGTATCATCCCTTCTTAACATCAAGCACGTGACAGCCATTATAACATCACAAGAACAGATGCTCATACCTTCATAACAGCTGAAATTTGTCAGTGACTTTAATTATGGTACTATGACTGTAGACAGAGCAGTCAGATTACAGGATTATCTATTGCCCAAATGAGGATGGTCACAGGATGGACTGTAATACTAATCTGAGACTGTAAATTACACTAACGTAATACTCTACAGTCAGAAACGGGATCACTGCTGCTGAAACAAACCATCAAAGAACATAGAAAAGCACATTCAGTAAGAATTAGCTCTAAAATTAATAATATTTTTTTTGTAAGAAAAATATCCATATTCAAAATGTAATAATCACTTGAATCTAGCTTGCGCTCACTGTGGAAGCAGTTAAGCAGTTCCGGGCGAATTACATATGAGGTCAGCTTTGCGCATGCGCCGCTCAGAAGTGACACATGCGGAAACAAAACAAAGACTTGTTTTCCTTTGCTAAAGTAAGGAAACTTTGCTTCTTTGGATCCTGTAAACAAACGTTGGTTTTCACGAGACTCACCGGCGCATGCGCAACGCTGACCCCATACTTCATGCTCCCGGAACTGCTTCTGTGTACAACTGCTGGCGCAAGCTAGATTGAAGTTATTATTACATTTTGAATATGGTTTTGTTGGCGCGGGGGCAGTGCTTATTCAAGAGGACACCCAAGGTATTGACCATCCTGTATGCTACTTCTCACGTAAATTCAACAAAAGTCAGTTGAATTACTCCACTATTGAGAAGGAAACCTTAGCTTTGCTGTTGGCATTGCAGTATTTTGATGTATATTTGAGTTCAAGCAATTTACCAATAACTGTATATACTGATCATAACCCTTTAGTGTTCCTATCTCATATGCGTAACCAGGATCAGCGGCTAAGGCTCTGGTTGTCCAAGGTTACCACCTGATGATTGAACACAAGAAAGGTTCAGAAAACGTAATGACTGATGCTTTGTCAAGAACTTAAAAGAAGATTGGAGTAAGGATCGTTAAAACTATATGGTTTTAACCCATATCGTTTGTCTTAAGGGGGGGAGTGTTACGTTCCACGTGTGTTCTGTGTATATTATGTTTCTTTTT